CGCCTGCCTTGCAAGCATGCGGTCATGAGTTCGATCTGTGGTACCAAAAAAAAAAATTTTTTTTTCAAGGAATATAAGCCAAAGCTTAACACTAATAGCCACCATCATAGTTAACTAACTCCAAGTAGAGAGAGAAAACAGAAATACCTGTTGATATTCATTATGGTACACCATTTTCAAAGGGGTTCTTTTCAATTTTTTAAAAATCAGTCTGAGTTTTAGATTAATAACATAATCTTTGTAAAAAATTAGAAAATCCAGGAAACTCAAGAATAATCCCAATCATTCCTACTACTCAGAGATAGTTACTATATGTTACGGATTTAAAAACTTAATGCCAGCTGAATTAAATCAGTATGATGCTGAGTGTAGATGGCCCACCTGAGAAAAGTTGCCAGCATAAATACAGATGTGGAGAACACAAGCGAGGCACTGTGGGTTTCTCGAAGTGTTGCTGTTTTGAGCTGTTGGTTCTCCTGGAAGAGCTCGTCATGACTAGCTTCCCAGTGTGAGTTTGACCATTGTCACTGGAGGAGCTCAGGACCTTGCTGGTGAGAGTGTTTCAGGTTCACTGTGGGAGAGCTCTGGTCCTTACATCAAGCATCACTTCCTGACTCCGAAGGGGAAGACATATGCCACTTAATCTCCATGACAAACTCGTCATGCTGGCTTTCTGGTGTGTACCCGACTGTGCTTATCATTGGAGGAGCTCGGGATCTCTGTGTCACTGAGGATGGCTGCAGTGCTTTTCAGGACAGCCCTGGTCCTTGTTTTGAGCGTGACTTCTCGGCTCCAGTGTAGAACCCTCAACCTACCAGCACAGCTCCTTCACCCTGCTGGCATAGACTTCTTAGCTTCCACTGCTGACTTTTGGGCCTTCCCAGCACAGATCCATAAAACAGACTGGCATGAGTACGTGTCCTGGCTGTACACCTCCAATTAGACTCATGGAGGCATTGTCATGACTGCTAGGTTTTCATCTCTACTCATGCAGGACATTGCTGTGGGATCCAGGCCCTTGGCTGAATATTCCGGGTCTTTAGTGTTGTGGACAGATTTCCTTTACTTTCTTGTATTAAATTCTGGGTGATCATCATAAAATAATATTATAAATTCTGTGTCCTCATTCTAATTGTTCTCTGTGCAACCCTGACTACAACACTATGTATCTTTCCAGTATTGTAGATATGTGAATAAAATATATCAACTTTTTCATGTTATTGTCCCAGAATTATTTTCCCAGCACTGGGAATTGAACTCAGGGACCACTCAGCCATTTTTTATTTTTATTTTGAGATAGGGCTTTACTAAGTTGTTCCTAGAAGTTGGCCCATTGTCTTAGCTTGGCCTCCCAAGGAGCTGGGATTAGACATGTGTGCTGACATGCCTGGCTCACGAGTCATTTTTAATTGTTGTATCTCATTTATCAATTGGTAATCTATTTGTATAAAGGGCTAAGTAGTATAGTTCTTCTTTGGCTTGTCACAAGTCTCATAACTGCACATCTCTGCCATGCAGTGTGAGATCAGTAGGGGATCCTATGTAAATCAGTGAGCATGGCTGTGTTCCCTCAAAACTTCACTTACAGAAATAGCAGCCTCAGATTTAAGAGGACGCAGCCTGCCAACTTGTAGGTATTATTTTAACATATTTTATTTTGACATAATTAACAGCTTCACAAAAACTTGTAAAGTAGTACAAAAGAGATCCTATGTGCCCTTTACACAATTTCCCCCAAGTTTCATCTTAAATTACTCTGGTACAACATCAAAATTAAGAAACTGACATTGGTACAATATGCATTCTCTATCTTCCTTAAAATGCATAACCACAACCAACAATGAAGACACGGATCTGTCCCATCACACAAAGGTCTCATTCTGTCCCTGTGGAGCTTACGGTGTGTAGCTTAGTATTAGCTACAACCACCTGCCTTCCCAGCTGATCATTCTTACTCCTCCTTGACAAACTAAATTTTCCATTTCTTTTTTTTTTTTTTTTTTAAGCTGGGGATTGAATCCAGGACCTTCACAGAAAGATACTTCCCTGGTTCTTTTTTGATTTAGAGACTGAGTCTTGCTAAGTTACCTAGGCTGGGCTCGAACTTGCTATCCTCCTGGGTTAGCCTCCCTGCATGCTGGGATTACAGGCATACCCCACTGCCCCCAGGTCCATCCCTAGTTCTGTCACTTTGATAATGTTAATACAAATGCAGTTGTGCAATATGTGACTTTTTGAAATTAACTTTATTTTCACTCGACCTTAGAGTCTATCCAGATAGTCACAAGTGTTAATAGCATTCCTTTTTTTCTGCTGAGTATTATTCCACCATCTGAGTGTACCACTGTTTGTTTAGCCATTCTTCCAGGGTAGGGCATTTTGGCTGTTTGAAAGGCTTCATTTTAGGTTGTAGCAAGCAGAAATCCCATGTAATTTTAGTGCACAGTGATAGCGTGGACCTTCACCTCCACTTTACCTCAGCGAGTGTGGCAGGTGCTCTATCCCTTGTAGACAAGCTTCCAAATTGAGCATGATTCTGAATGTGGTAATCCATCCACATACAAGTTGGGGTTTTTTTTTCTGGTTTTTTTTTTTTTTTTTGTACTGGGCATCGAACTCATGACTACCTACTTGCCAGGCAGGTGCTTATACCACTGAGCTAAATCCCCGGCCCCTCATATACAAGTCTTGAATTGAATCTTATTGTGTCTTTTAATATTTTCAAGTACTTGAAGTCATTTAAAATGCACTAATTTAAGCCAAAGGTCATTGATCCTGCAGGGATTTCCAATTGCTTTAAGGCTAGTACAGATATAATAGTCCATACTTAGAGCAATGGTCGAATTCATCTTCTAGATGTGGAGACATCTGGACTACTGTAGAGACAGACTCAGGTTCAAGTCTCCCTCTTACCACTTACAACCTGTAGTCCGAGAGCAGTCACCTTCCTGGGACCCTCTATTTTCTTGCTGTTAAAACAGTGCAAACCCAGACTGAGGATGCAGCCCAGTGACCAAGCATGTGCCTAGCACACATGAAGCCCTGGGTTCAATCCCCAGCACCACCAAAAAGGACCAACCCTGCTTCACAGGGCTCTATGAGGAGCCCAGGAGAAAACATAGAAAAAGCATCTGGGGAAAAGGAAATCACCATATAAACCCTACTCTAGTAATCCTAAAAATAGATTTCCTTCACTAATATCTTAGAAAAAATAATAGATTTATAATTAGAATGAATACTTTCTGTGGAAGGCTGGGATAACTTTGCTGGAAAAAAAAAATAAAGATCCAGTCTTACAGAGCCTGAAAGAACAGACAGGGAGGAAGAGTTCTGTGTGCTGAGACGGCTGGCCTGAACTGAAACACAAAACCAAATGACAGGCGTGAGGAGCCGTGATGTAAATCAGTAATGTCTGGAGTGTCCACCATCTGCTTCCTGTTGGCCAGACCTTCCTTCTGCAAAGGCTCTTCCTGGGTTTCCACAGCCCTGCCTCTCCTGCTTCTCCGGGCTCCTCCCCTCCCCCTCCCTTCCCCTCCCTCTTCCTCCCCCTCCCTTTCCCTCTCCCCCCCCCTCCTCCTCATCATCATTTCCTTGGCCCCTCAATATACGTTTCCCTAAGGAGCCTCTCCATACTGTGCTTTCCGTGACTTCTTCCCTGGCAAGATCATGCCTTGACTTCATTTCTCAAAGTTTACATCTGTGACTCTCACTGAGCTGACCTCCTCATTTCCATCCTGCTGGCGGGACGGTCGACTTCAGCTCAGTATTTCCAAGGCTGAGGTCATTTGTCTTCCTACAGCAGCCCTTTCTTTCCAAGCTCCCTGTTTCTATCCATAACCCCAAGGTTCACACTGCTTAGACGCTCAGCGCAGTCCTGTTTTCTGTGTAGCCCTCCTAGGCTGTCCCCAGCCTGGCCACCTGGCAGATTCTTGGATGCTGTGTCTCCCATTTCCTCCTTCCCTTCTGGGCCTTTCCCTCCCGGAGCCCCCTTCCCCGCCCTGCCCTGTCTCTTCTCACCGTGGCCTGTGACTTCTGCAGCTCTGGGTAGCTCCTGACTCCCGGCTGATTCCCTTGTTTGTGGGGCAGATGTCAGATGATTATCCTAAAACCAAACGGTGCTCAGATCACAGACCTTCTAAACTCATTTATGTAATAAAGTCCAGGTGAACCAGAAGGCAGTACCAGAAGTCTGTAATGTTCTCACTTGACTCTTTCCTGACTTATTTTCCTGCGTTCTGCCCTCTTCTTTCCTTGAACCACGTATGGTTTTTCTCAGTATTTCCACAGAGCAATAGATAGCAGATCATTAATTATTTGTTGAATGATCAGCTGGTCCTAAGGTAGAAACCAAGTTCTTGTTTGGATTATACCTTTAGCTTTTGTTGAACACCTTATTCTGTGTCAGATACTGTGAGGCTCTTGGAATAGAGTAGGCGCAGACTGAAGACTCCAGCCCTGGAGGAGTTCCAAAGGTGTTAGCACTGGATTATTTATACAAATAGTTATAAATTATATATATATATATATATATATGGCATGTGTGAGGTTTTTTGAGACAGAGTCTTTCTATATAATCCCTTGAACTCATGCTGGCCTTGAACTTGCAGTGATCCTTCTGCCTCAGCCTCCTGGGTGCTAGGATGATAGGCATGCACCATCCTGCCTGGCCGTCACTTTATATTATGACACTAACTTTGCACCAATGTCTAAAGCATAACTATCAGGCACTTCATTTAAGCACATATTAACTACAGAGTCAAATAATTAAATTCTGATTGCCTGAAGGTTATGGAATTTACCTGTCCAGTCAGGTGAGTTTGTTTTAGGAAAGGAAAGCACAGGAGAGTTTCCGCAGGATCTTCTTTAGGGAAGGAAGCAGCGGCGGAGGAGGGGGGACGCTGTGAGGGTGACAGACTGCTGAGGTCACCGCTCGCCGGTCACTCCTTCTCAGCCAGGTCGTACCATGAAGCTAACAGAATGTTCTTTTGACTCTCATGCAGGAGGCCATCAGCAGTTGTTTCCCTGCGAAATCTGTGGGAGACACTTCGCAGAAGATGTTCTGGTAAATATAAAGATGTTTCTAGATGGGTTTCCCTGGAGGCAGTGAAGAGGTGGCAGCGCCAAGATTGAAGACATGCGGAGGGGAAGCCAGAGAAGCACAGTCCCGCTGGCTGCCAGGTGCCGGCAACACTGAGGCACTGTGACGCTGCCACATCCAGAAGTGACCCTCTTAGCCACTCTGCTCCTCACAGTGTGCGGGTGGAGGGGTCCTGGCACAGCTGACCAGCCCTTTAGAGGTTTTGGCTCTTCTGCCTTTTCTTTAGGCATCAGAAATTCAAATTCCAAGACCAAAAAATGCCAGGGAAATTAGCTAGTCAAAAGGAAATGAGCGTTGAATTTCAGGCATCTGGCAACTTGGCTGCAAATTTGTCACTAATTCTGACAAGTTATTTAACCTTCCTATTTTCTACTTTGCCATGTGTAATGAAGCCTCCAATCTGAGGGGCTTCATACCATTTGAACAAAGAAATATGCAAATGCAGGGCCTGATCCAAATTCTGTTATTCAGACACAAGCAATATGTCAGGGTCCTTGGTTGGTGGCTATAATGTCAAATAAAACCTTAATCTACTTCAAAACTAAGGTATTTCCACACCGTATGTTTATCTTTTAATGAGGCACATGTATTGAATTTATGGATTACAGTTACTAATGGAGGACACATAGAAGAGGATTCGTTTTCCAGATATACTTCGAGTCTTCTCAAAGAATTACAGCTCAAGCTAACAAGAATTACAGCTCAAGCTACAGTGTTAGTGTACATTCTAAGGATGGCAAACAAAACTGAGTCCTTCCTTATTTCTTGGGATGATTTCTGGGACCTCATTTGTAATCTTATAATTAGTGGATGTGATTCTACACTGACTGCACTGGGCGTGAGTGCTGTAATTTTCCTCAGTAGCCCATTATTTGGGGCTTGGAATATTGGCCTTCATTGGATCAACTGAAGATGATGATAGGCGGCTTGGCTTTGTAGCACCTGTTTTATTTTTTATTTTGGCTCTTCAGACTGGTTTAAGTGGGCTAAGACCAGAAGAGAGACTCATTCACCTAAGTAGAAACATGTGCCTTTTGTTAACCACAGCCTGCATTTCATCCATGGAATGACAGACCCTGAATTAATGTCTCTCAGGGCCTCCCATGTTTCATCTTTTCATAGACATTTTCCTGTGCTGTTTGTCTCTGCTTATCTGTTCATTCTTCCTGTTTTACTTAGCTATGTTCTTTGGCACCACTATGCACTAAATACATGGTTGTTTGCAGTTACAGCCTTTTGTGTGGAGCTCTGCCTAGAAGTAAATTGTTTCCCTCACTGTTTATACATTATTCATGATTGATGGCTACTATAATGTCCTCTGGGAAAAGCTTGATGATTATGTCTACTATGTTCGTTCAACTGGCAATATTATTGAATTTATCTTTGGAGTAGTAATGTTTGGAAATGGGGCTTATAATATGATGTTTGAATCAGGAAGCAAAATTCGGGCTTGTATGCATGCATATTTTAACATCTACCTACAAGAAAAAGTGACTGGAAGACATTCATGAATCGTAGAACTGTTGTTAAGAAAATCAATTCACTTCCTGAAATAAAAGGGAGCCGCTTGCAAGAAATAGATGATGTATGTGCAATCTGCTATCATGAGTTTACAACATCTGCTCGTATTACACCATGCAATCATTATTTCCATGCGCTCTGTCTTTGAAAATGGCTATACATTCAAGATACTTGTCCAATGTGCCATCAAAAAGTATACATTGAAGATGATGTCAAGGATGACTCCAGTATATCTAACAACAATGGATTTATTGCACCTAATGAAAATGAAAATCCACAGGAAGTCAGAGAAGATGCAGAATCTGACAGGGAACGGAATGAAAATGACAGTACAGACTGAGACAATGATGTGCAAAGAGAAAGAAATGGAGGGATTCAGCACACAGGTGCAGCAGCTGAAGAATTTAATGATGACACTGATTAAAATGCATTTACTAATCACTGAGGGTATTTGTTTAAAATTGAGTTCATCCAAAATGGAGTAATACACTTCAGTTAACCAAGCACAAAAAACAGTATCAATGTTGAATCTGTGAATGGTTTTCCGTTTACTGTAATGTGCTACTGTAAATATACCTCTTTAATTACTCCTGGTCTCTTTAGTGACCCATTTAAATTTGTGTATATTATTGTACATAGAATAAAATGTTTTCATGTTTTTATGACAAAATTTGAACAAATAGCTTTTCATAGATACATTAGTCATATGGTGCGTCAACTGTGCCAGAGATTCTCAATGCAATTATGTAGTATCTGAAACTCTGTGGGCTAATGATTTTTTTTTTTTTTTTTTTGGTACCGGTAATCAGCTCAGGACCTTACACTTGCCAGGCAGGTACTGTGCCACCGAGCTATATCCCTGGGCCCCTAGTGTTTTTAAAATGGATATTCAGGGCTGGAGATATAGTTCAGCCACACAGTGTCTGCCTGGAAATTGGGAGGTCATGAGTTTGAGTCCCCATACAGAAAAAAAAGTGGATTTTCAAATTGGAAAACTCTAAGCGCCAACCAGAAAAATCACATTAAAGTCAAGGAAATAAAGTGATTATAATAATTTGACCAAAGGAGTAATGCGTAAACTAAGGAAAAAATTATCCTGCCAGAAATGACTGAAAAGGTTTTTTGTTGCCGTCGTTGTTTTTAAAGGCAGGGTCTTGCAATGTAGTTCATTAGGCTTTGAAAGAACTTTGTAGCTCAGGCTGCCTTGAACTAAATGGTAGTCCTCTTGCCTCAGCCTCCAGAGTGCTGGCATTATAGGCATGCGCCACCACGCCCTACTTTGTTTTTCCTTTGGTCTTTTTGAGACAGAGCTTCACTGTGCAGTTCAGGCTGGCCTCAAACTCACTTTGTAGTTTACGCTGGCCAGAACTTGCAGCACTCCTCCTCCATCAGCCTCCTGAGTGCATGCGCCACCATACCCCACACACCTGACGTTTCAGAAATTTGAGTTGCTAGGTTCAAAAGTCTTGAGTTATGCCGACCTGTCAGAAGCAGGCTTTAGCAACTAAGTTGTGATATACAATAGAATGTGCTGAAAAGTGTCCTTTCAGTCTTTTGATGAGAAGACACAATGCAAGCAGCTAGGTTTTGTTTCAAACTGCTGCATTGAGTGATAAAAAATTCTGATTTCATGGATATAAATAAAGGAAACAATGTGAAGTGATTCTTTAGACAGCTTTCAGGTTTTCTTCATTGAAACTTAGAGTAAATTTTGCCAGAAATTTTTCATTCATGATGAAATATGCCAATTAAATATCAAGAAAAAAATTTTAATTGTATTGTTATGTAAGGTATTAGCTAATTCCAGTGGACCCTCATCTCTTACTGCTGACATTATCTCTGGTATTTGACTAAAACAAAACAAAACAAAATATGGTTAAATTTCCAAATATGTATTGTTCTAAAGGCATATAATCATCTTTTCCATGTAAAAGAATATCTTGTATTACTAGCACTTTTAGCCTAGTAAGTTTAATAAAGTTTTCAGCAAGTATAAAAAAAAAAAAACAAAAAACAAAACTAGGGTATTGTACAGCTAGTAGGCCCAAACATTGTAAAGAGATTCCTAGGAAGATGATAAAAGATGTTAACAGTCTTACAATAATACTGTGATCCGTGAGGTATTTCAGATCAAGGAGACATATCTCAAAAGATTTGGATCATAAGCCTGACTACGTTTATGGGCTACAAAATGAAATTGTGGTTGGGGTTTTTTTCCCCCACCTAGGGAATTTAAAAAATAAAGTCTGTTCTTTTCATGACCTATGGTTAGAGCTTTCTGAAATTTTAGGGGGGTTTCCCCAGGGGATTGCTCTTGCCTTGGCCAGCCAGAAGCTGCACCTCAGGATGTAGGTTTGAGTCTTGGGAGGTCTGTGTGTAGAGGGATCAGTAAAAGTCTGGTGTGTTTTGGATACTCTTGAGTTCCATTCCCTGAGCCTATTTCTAGGCTGCAGACAAGGTTTGATCAAGCAATCTGATATCCTTTGGTTTAACATGGGATGTCTTGTTCTTAGCCCAATGTGGTGAAGTTTTTAGAGCCTACACTGTATTGGGTGGAGATATGTGGGTGATAGCTATTATATGTTGCATACCCACCTGTTATGGATTTAAAACTGGTGGTCAATTTAAACACCAGCTGAATTAATGAAATCAGCATGGTGCTGAGCGTAGATGGTAGATGGTCCACCTGAGGAAATTTGCCAGCACAGAGATGTGGAGAAGACAAGTGAGGCGTTGTTGTTTCTCTAAGTGTTGCTGTTTTGAGCCATTGTTTTTTCTGGAGGAGCTGCCGTGACTAGATTCCCCAGTGTGAGTTCGATTATTATCATCAGAGGAGCTTGGACCTTGCTGGTGAGAGTGTCTGTGGTTCACTGTTGGGGAGCACTGGTCATTACTTAGAGCATCACTTCCTGACTCCAGAGTGGAAGATGTATGCTGTTTAATCTCCAGGAGAAGCTTTTCATGCTGGCTTTCTGGCATGTACTCAACTGTGTTTATGGTTGGAGGAGCTCGGGATCTCCGTGTCACTGAGGATGGCTGTAGTGCTTTTCAGGACAGCCCTGGTCGTTGTTTTGAGCGTGACTTCTCGGCTTCAGTGTAGAACCCTCAACCTACCAGCACAGCTCCTTCACCCTGCTGGCATAGACTTTCTAGCTTCCACCACCGACCTCTGGGCCTTCTCAGCACAGAGCCATAAAACAGACTGGCATGAATCCTTGTTGTGGGCTCTAGATCTCCAGTTGGACTCATGGGAGGCATTGTCATGGGCTCCAGGTTTTCATCTCAACTCACGCAGGACATTACTGGGGATCCAGGCCCTTGGCTGATTATTCTGTCTTTGGTGTTGTGGACAGATTTCCTGCACTTTCTTCTGTTAAACTCTGGGTGACCATCATAAAATAATATTATAAATTCTGTGTCCTGATTCAAATTGTTCTCCTCACAACCCCTGACTACAAACACCACCACAGAAAATGGCAAAGGGCTGATGTCATCCCATGGGGACCCCGTAACAAATTTTAGAAAAGCAGTTCACAGGCAGAGGTCTAGGTATTTATTCTCTAGTTCTTGTGCCAAAAATGCTGAGTACTTAAAGAACTTCTGGTTGGAATAAAGAAGGTAGTCTCAAAGTTTTAGGTTAAATATGTGAAAAACAAATTTGAAGTCAGTCTCTTTAGCTGTTGTATTACTTTTGCATCACTAAAACAAGATACCTGAGATGTTCTCCTTACAAAGAGAAAAGGGTTATTTTAACTCATAGTTTCTAAGGGTCCAATCCATCATGGTTGTTTGGCCGATTACTTTGGGCCTGTGGTGAGCAGCATCTCAAGGCTGCAAAAGCATATGATGGATCAGAACTGCTCACCTGATGGCCAGGAAGCAAAGGACAGGCTGCTAGGAGGAATGGGCAGCAGTCTCATGATCTCTTTCAAGGCATGCACCTGGCAACCTAAAAATCTCCCTTTAGGTCTAACCTCCTGCAGGGTCCATGGCTTCCCAACAGCACAACCTTGGGGGACAAAGTGTTTAGCACCTGCACTTTTGGGGGACCTTCACGATCCCAGGCCTTTCATTGTCTTTGCCCAGACACAGTACTGTATTGAATGTGGTGAGGACAGCCACATAGACTTGCTCTGCTGTGGTCCAAGAGTTAGAAAATGGACTGGATTCTGAAGTAGCAAACTCCCTCACCGGAGTGGGGGCTGTCAAGTACACAAAAGGATTAAAAACCTCTGTGATTATGCATTTCCAAAATTCTAATACCTCTTTCCTTTTCTAGAAAAGGCATGAACCAATATGTAGAAAACTCTTTGACAAAAAACGTAAACCCTTCAATTCCTTGAAGCAGAGATTACAGGGCACCGACATTCCCACCGTGAAAAAGGCTCCTCAGTCTCAGGTACTGTCATACAGTCTTTCTTATGCTTTAATACAGTCTGTACATCTACACCCATTTTCAGTCTCTCTGGTTTTGTTTTTGCTTGATAAAGAAGCATAATATCATGTAAGTGTAATCTACCTTAGCTCTTTTCTTCATAACCTTCATCACTTATGTTTCCAAATATATTTCAGATACTTTCCAGATGTGGGTAAAAGAATTGTGTTTATATTTTCATTAGAGTTGCTGTACCTCTAGCAATTAGGAAGGATGTCACTTCCACTTGTCTTCCGTTAAAATTTGGTAGTTTCATTGTTTCTTATTTTTGTGTTTCCCTTCACTATTGTGACTTGCAAACTTTATTACTAAAGTTTTCAAACCTCAGGCTGGGGGTTTAGCTCAGTGGCGTAAGTGCCTGCTTTGCAAACACGAGGTTGTGAGTTCAATCCCCAGCACCAAAAAAAAAAAACCTCTTTAAGTAGTGTTTTGAAAAACAAATTCTCCTTTCTCCAAATTTTACAGTCCTATTTCCTGTAGATGCAAATCCCAACTTAAAAAAAAATTATCCTTGAGGATGTGGATAGTCTTAGGCAGTTTGTTGATTCTGATTCTTACAGTCTCAGCCTGTGAGGAAATCTAACTGGAGACAACAACATGAAGATTTTATCAACGCAATTCGATCGGCAAAGCAGTGCATGCTAGCTATGAAAGAAGGCCGGCCTCTGCCTCCTCCACCCCCTGCCAGCGTCAACCCAGGTGTGCAGACATGGGGGTTTGCCTCCTCCTCTTCTTCTTTTTCTTTCTCCTCTTCCTCCTCCTCCTCCTTTTGTTTTTTTCTAATACTGGAGTTTAAACCCATGGCTTTGCTCATGCTCAGTAAGCTCTCTACACTGAGCTGTAACCCCAGCCCTTTGGTTTGCTTTAGAGGCTATGCTTGTCTGTTGCCCAAATTATTATCCTTCTGTATACTCTAAAAGTGACAGTAACGTCTACACAGAAGTGATTTTATCAATTACATAAGGGTTGTATGTATATATGAAAGTCTTTCCCTCGATTCCTAGAAAGATCGTTGTGTCTTCCTCAGTCTTAGCGTGAGAGCACCACTGTGCCTTGCTGTCATCACACAGTTCCAGGGCGTGCGTTACTGTGCCTCGGCTGAGGACCAAGGAGTGTGCCGTGACCTAAGCAGTGCCACAGGCGTCGCAGAGTCAGACGGCCACAGCTGCCTGCCTGCCTGCCTGCCTTCCGTCCTTCCTTCTTTCTTTCCTTCCTTCGTCCTTCCTTCCTTCCTTCCTTCCTTCCTTCCTTCCTTCCTTCCTTCCTTTCTTTGTCTTTCTTTCTTTCTTTCTTTCTTTCTTTCTTTCTTTCTTTCTTCCTTCCTTCCTTCCTTCTTCCTTCCTTCCTTCCTTCCTTCCTTTCTTTCTTTCTTTCTTAAATTCTTACAACCAGGTTTGCGTTTTAAATTGTACTGTTTAGTGCTTTTTTGCTCCAGGCTTTTTATTTTGGAAATTTTCAAATCTATGAAGAAGGAATAGTACAATACCTTCTACTGAAATGTGACAAATTTGCCATTGTCACCACCCCTGTCCCCTGCGGAACTATTTCAGAATCATTATCCTTGACTACTCAATGTGCATCTCTTCAGTGGATTTTCCTGCATAAGTATTAGTTTAAAAATATAGACTCATGTTTTCCCAGTTATCCTAGAAATGTACTCTGGAGCTCTCCCTGCCATTTCTCCTCTTTTCTTGCCACAATCAGGATATGGTCAAGGTGGAGGTTTTTAGGTTACATTTATGATCTTTTAAAAAATCTTATAGATCTGCCAAACTGTTTGTCTCTTGGAATATCTCATGTTCTATAGTTGTCTGCTTGCTTAGGCATCTTACTGTTTAACTAGTTTTTCTGTCCTATCCTTCTGTACATTAAAAGTTAGGGCTAGAAGCTTAGTTAGATTAATTTTAATCCTCTATCAAATATATGATTTGCAAATATTTTCTTCCACCTTGTGTACTGTCTTTTGATTCTCTTAGATAGAATCTTAAAATTTTAGTAGTCTAGCATATGTTTTTTTTCAATATTTGTCCTTTATTTTAAAAATCATATATTTGTCATATATTTTAAAAATCATGGCCAAATCTAATGCTTTTGTATGTATTTTTTGTTCTATATTTTTAGCTCTTATGTCTTTGATCCATTTTGAGTTGTTTATATGTGATGTAAGGAAATAATTCAACTTCTCCTTCTACACAAAGAACACCTCTTTCCTCAGCACCTTGATGAAAAGACTTCTTCCTCCATGGAATGGCCTTGGAATTCTTATCAAAAGGCAATAAACTATATATTTGAGAGTTTAATTTAGGTTCAATTCTGTTCCATTGGTTTGCACGGCCATTTTTATGCCAGTACCACAACATTTTGATTACTGTAGCATTATAGTAAATCTGGAAATCAGGAATTGTGAGTGCTCTGATGTTGTTTTGGCTATTAGAGGTTTTTTGTTTTCGGTTTTAGATTTAATGTAAATTTTAGGATTTTTTTTCTATATCTGAAAAGTTTTGGCATTTTAATAGGAGTTGCATTTAACCTGTAGATCACTTTGGATAGTACTGTAATCTTAGGAATACTGTCCTCCAATCCATGGTCACAGGATCTCTCTCCATTTATTTATGCTTTCTTTAATTTCTTTTAACAGTATTTTGTTATTCTCAATGTACAAGTCTTTTTCTTGATTAAGTTTATTCTTGTGCATTTTACTTTTTATTTATTGTAAATGAAATTGCTAACTTCCTTTTCAGAATGTTCACTGTTAGCATATAAAAATACTACTTATTTTGGTATAATGGCTCTGTAATGCGACAGCCTTGCTGTATGTATTTATAGCTCTAACATTATTTTTGTGGAATTCTTAAAATCAGTAAACATAAAATACAGTGAAATGTTGGTTTATGAATATAATTCATTCCTGAAACATGCTCATAATCCAAAGCACTTGTGTATCAAAGTGAATTTCTCCATAAGAAATAAAGAAAACTTAGATGATTTGATCCACAAGTCAAAAATATTCATATAAAATGATTATAGCACTGTAATATAATATAAAATAACAAAATATAAAGAAAAATAAACAAATTAACCTGCACTTTGAAAACCTTCGTAGCTGGTATGAGGGAAACGAGAGAAGGGTTACTGTGTAGGACAACTGTCACTATCCCTAACTGTCACTATCCCTAACAGAATCACTGCTCTCTATTGGCTTAATGGAATCTTTCTTTTTGAGCAACCTTAACTCACTGTTTACTTGCTTTTTCCTTCTTTTGAGGGTTTCATGGAAATGTGACATTGTATTGTCACTAAACAGATTCACTGTTTGTGCTGCTAAGGATTATTTGGCTAGTGAGGGCTTTTCTACAAAATTTTGTATTGTTTCCTACATTTTATACATCTCCCTAATCTCATTTGAAACGAGAGAGTCCTCCTGCTGTTTCTCCCTCCCCTGCAGAAACTTGCTCTAGAACTTCTTGCTGCTGGGAACATGACCCACAGTCCTGCAGAGGAGGAGGGGAGAGAGGAGAGGAGGAGAGACAGAGACAGACACAGAGACCTGGACAGAGACAGAGAGAAGAACACTGGCCCAACTCAGTTCACATGCTACTCATATTGCAAGACATGGCTCTTTTGTCAAGTTAAAATTTATGAGAAATGTGTTCCTGTCTTGCAGAACACTTACAGAATCAGTTACTCCCAACCCAAGAATTCACTGTAATGTTATCTGTAAACAGAGACTTTGTTTGTTGTAAACAGAGACTTTGTTTCTTTGTTTTTATTTGTATCCTTTCTTTTTTTTTATTTTTTTCATGTCTAAATCCTCTGGCTAGCTAGAACTTCTAAACTATGTTGAAAGAAAGTGGCAAAAGTGAGCATTCTTATCTTTTTTATCCATTGAGTAAAATGCTGGCTGTGGGTTATACTTTATTATTTAAGGCATTGAAATAATGACACATCTTGAGGATTATAACAAATGGAAATATGCATAAAAACAATAGCATAAAAACAATAGCACAAGTTTGAGTCCAGAAAAAGAACTTTTTTGGTACCAGGGCTTGAACTGATGAGCTCGCATTTTGCCAGGCAGGTGCTGTGGAGGACATACTATTGTAAGGTCCTTACATTATACGTCACACTACATACAGTACTATTTGAAGATGGACTCAAAAGTACTGACTCAGTTAATAAGACAATGAATTGAGATGAAAATGAAAACAAAATCAATCTAAAAGAGAATCTAAAAGAGGAAAAAATGAAATCCGATGAATACAAATAGCAAAATGTTATGGTTAAACCTAACCATAAGTGCATATAAATGACCTATACACTCCAGATAAAACAGATGATTAAGCTGAGTAATACAGAGCCAACTATTTTATGTATTTCATAAGAAGCACTTAAGGGACACAAGTTAAATGCATAGGAAAGGTATACATATAAATAATAATCATATAACTAGAGTGGCCAAGCTGACGTCAGGCAAAGTAAACTGCAGAGTCAGTATTCAGAGAGATCTTGATTCAAAAGACTTATTCAACGTGAAGACCTATCAGTTCTACATGTTTACGTACCCAGTAATGGAGCTTCAAAGAATGGGAACAAAAACTGACAAAACTGGAAGGAGAAGTAGACAAATACACAATTATAGTTGGGGCCTTAACACTCTTCTTTTAGTAACTGATGGACTATGCAAAAGCAGAAGCAAAACCAAGAAGATGCGGTGGCTCAAGCCATGATATCAGCCGGTTTGACCTACCTGGTATCAGTAGTTACAGTTTCACAAACAGCTGCAGCACACACCTCACACCGTTTTCAAATCCGTGGAACGTTCGCCAAGACGGACCTTAGCCAGGACCAGAGAGCGGGTCGCGGGAAACTTAAAAGGGTTAGGACTGCAGTCATGAAGACTCTACTTTCTGCTCACAATAAAATAAAATTAGAAATTAATGAAAAATGTATCTAGAACATTCCTGAATATTTAGAAATTAAGTCTTTGCTAATAAGCCATGGATCCAAGAAGAAATCACAAAAGAAATATTTTTAGGAAATATTTTTAACTGAATGAAATGAAAACATTGAAATTCGTGGGATTTCATCTTACATAGTACCCAGGAGCAACTTTACAGCTTTAAATGTTTATACTAGAAAAAAGGAGGTTTTGATCAGCTACTTTGGATTTTCTATTTACAGAGAAAAATAACAAATTAAACCTAAATTACATAAGGAGAAGAATGTAATAAATCTAGTTTATCATAACAACATACTTTTTGAAGCACATGGTCATCTCAAAAGAGAAAGCTTTGACAGTATTACATCTATCTGTGTCTAAAACAAAACAAGAGCCTCTCAGGAAAGTGGAACCAGGAGTGAGCTTCCTCCAAATAGGGCACCTAAAAATCTACAGCTCACAGTACACGGTGCAGAAAAACTGAGCATTTGCCACTAAGCTCAAGGAAGAAGCAAGAGCATCCACGCTCTCAACACTACTAAACGTAGTATTCAGTGTCATAAGGCAAAAAAATCAATCAATAGATAATATATAATTATATGTAATATACATAAGTGATATGTATGGCATAAAGATTGAAGAAGTAGAAATAAAATTATCTTTATTTACAATCAATGTAATTGTGAAGGAGTAAATGTAGAGAACTACAAGGGAACTAGGGAACTACAAGACAGCTACTGAGAAAAGCAAATTTGGTAGG